GATTACTAATGGTGGGTGACAAGAAGTGCTAGCAGCTGATAAGATTTGATAAGGGGAGTTAGAATGGGAAGGTCACCATAACGCGGGACACAGCATCAGCTAGGCGTTGATTTCAGAAAATGATATAGAGTGGGAGATGAGAACATCGACGGCGGGTGACAGGAGGTGATAACAGCTGATATGGGCTGATAAGGAACGTTGCCGTTGTTGTTCAGTCAAAGTGTTGGGGCCTTTACACTACCAAATTATAGAGCTTTAGTGATAGGAACTGATGACGGGTGACAGGCAATCTTATCAATTGATAAGAAAGGATAAGGGGCCATTATCATTACATCTCCTACCACTATACTGCCAAGTATTGAAGGCTCAGTGTGCAAAGTTCTCCTTTAGCCTTTAGCCATCACTTCTCTGATAGCACTAAAACCTCCATCATCCTACTATATAATGTCGAAGTCGACGAGCGGGTGGTATGTAGTTCGCGTGAAACAGGAAACTCAGGGAAATTCGAGGAGAACCGAAAACCTGAATAATGAGGCACTTTATGCGTTCAATAGCTTTTTTACCTTTAACCTTTCAATTACTGATGAGAACGAATAATAAGGGAGCATAATACCTACAATTATTTGTACTTCAGCAAGCGGGTTGCATGGTAATTGAAAAGGGAAGGGTTAATCGGTAGGCATTTCGGTGCAGTTAATGAAAATGGAATTAGTTCTTCTACTGAAGATTCATATTGCTCTGTATTGGCCGACTGTGTCGCGAAGCACACCCCTGCTACAAATATAAGCGTGTGCTTAGGAAAGCAAAATCAGCAGAAAATTTGCTCTATCTGTTACGATTCGATCCTTACAGCGCTGTATGAGCAGCCCACTATCAAAAAAATTGCGTTTCAATTAGTTGCGTTTCAATAAGGTGCAAATAATTGAAACGCAACTTTTTTGATAGGGCAGGGAGTAGGGCATGGGACAGAAAATAAAAAACACACTTCACCTATGGGCAGCCATGCCCAAGTGGCAGGCACTCGCCGAAAGTTTGGGGTTCCGCAGAAAAATGTTCATAATTCCGGAGCAGCTTAAAGATGGGGAAAAAGGGAATAAGGTTAGTAAGGAGTCGCCAGACTAACTGTGGCAGACACATCCAAAATGGGCGTACTCAAGGTGGGCGGTGCTTCTCGCAAAATTCAGTAACCCGGTTCGCGAGAGTGTTTGGAAGTCGCAAAAAACTCAGTGTAGAATGTAAATATCTGGCGAATATAGGGCACGCTCAAAGTGTGTTGAGACCCGCCCACAGTGGGCGGAGCTTGCCCTAAATCGCAGGGTATTCATTTTAAAAGTTTGTAGCTCGGTTCCAGAACACTCCAGACACCGGAAAAAAGTGGACTAAGGTCAGCAGAGGGTCGCCGGTGAGGATTGTGGGGCAAAAACATTGTGGGCGGAGCCTGCTCCGAGGTGGGCGGAGCCAGACAAAAAGGTCTAAAACGGTTCCAGAGCACTCCGAAGACCGGAAAAAGTGGATTAAGGTCAGCAGAGGGTCGTCGGTGAAGATTGTGGGGCACAAAAATTGTGGGCGGGGCCTGCGTGAGGTGGGCGGAGCCAGACGAAAATTCTCTAAAACTGTCCCAGAGCACTTCAAAGACCGGAAAAAAAACGTGGATTAAGGTCAGCAGAGGGTCGCCGGTGAGGATTGTGGGGCACAAACATTGTGGGCGGGGCCTGCTCCGAGGTGGGCGGAGTCAGACGAAGAATCTGTAAAATAGCTCAAGAGTACTTCAGACACCGGAAAAAAGTGGAGTACAGAACAAAAGGCGGATATCAGTTGAGTCTAGAAATATGTGAAAGAAAATACGCGCGGCGAAGCCGCGCTCGCCCGGCGCAGCCGGGCCGTATCAGAAGGAGGCGCGCCGGCGTTAGCCGGCGAGCCGACTGGTACAATACAACGAGGAAATGTGTTTACATACCATCAGAAGTCGTTAGCAAAGACGGCCCGATTTGAAAGCATATACAGAGTATAAAAACAGGAACACATAATGTCGTTGTGATGGTAATAGTCTGAAAAGTTTTGGGGCTGTTGAACAAATCAAGCAGTTCTCATACATGCATATCCCAAAATACAATTCTTGTCGGATTTCGGCAGGGCGGTGTCAGGAGGCGTGGAGTGAGTCCAACCAGAGAGTTTTTCACCACTGGTAGGTTCATATCTGGCAGAGGACGCACTGGCAGAGGACGCAGCCGCTTGTTCTCCGTCTTCTGACACCGCCCTGCTGGATTGCGAAGATACCTAGACTACACACTAATTCTCTTGCGTGAAAGTTGAGTAGCGACAAGTCGTCGTTTACCCGGGGACAAAGGAGCCACTATGTTCCTGGCCGAAGCTCACTGTGGCCATCGAATCTAATATCATTTCGTGGTACTGATGGCACGTTTTTCCCCACTCAACAGGGTTTTTCCATTCTTCTTCCCCACCGTACAATGTTGGACAGCTTTCCTGGACCGAATTCGTTTGTATTCTGCAATGCGGGTTGATGGGGAGTCTGAACGAAGATGGAATTCATTTTTGGCGCCAGTGTTTTATCAGGGCGGAGCACAGGAAGGGAGGTGATTTCCCCCCCCCCCCACCCCTACCCACGAGCTCATTATTGACATAGCGTAGTAACCAGAGTGTCGTACGTTAGCTTATGCGCTGAGAATGGTCATATTGGTCATGGCGTCACCTTCGTATGCAGGCTCATGTGAATTTTGATGAGAAATGGCAGTGGAACTAAGTTGGCGCAGGCACTACTTAAGCGCAAAATGAGGTGCGTGCGAAGTGTCAATAT